ATAAAGGAATTCACCCAGGGGCACCCGGCTGGCTCGGTCAGTAGAGCGTGCAACTCTTGATCTCGGGGTCATGAGTTCAAGCCCCATGTGGGGGTGTGGAGATTACTTAAAAAAATAAAATCTTAGGGGCGCCTGGGTGACTCAGTCGTTAAGCGTCTGCCTTCGGCTCAGGTCATGGTCGCAGGGTCCTGGGTTCGAGTCCCACAGAAGCCTGCTTCTCCCTCTCCCGCTCCTCCTGCTTGTGTTCCCTCTCTGGCTGTGTGTCTCTCTGTCAAATAAATAAAATCTTAAAAAAAAAAAAAAAAAAAGGAATTCACCCATGTTTTCTTCCGGTATCTTTATGCTTTCATTTCCTAACATGTCAACTGACTAAGGGGGTGGTATTCTCTAACCCTCCTGTCCATATTAGGGCTCCCTGTCCTTCTCCTGCATGGCATTTCTCCCAATTCCAATTAATTAATTAGGATTAAAATAGGTGTTGAATGTGCATGTCCCCCACTAGGCTGTCAGCTCCACCCACAAGGACTCAGGCTGATTTGCCCACCCCAGGGTCCTGGTTCCTATCTCAGAGATGGTAAAGAGGAAGCACTGACAAATGCTTCCTGAATGAGTCATCTCCCTTCCCCAGTCCACCCTCTCGCATCCTCCTCACCACCCCCACAACGCTCCCACATGAAGTGAGTACCCAGAGTGAAGTAGGAAGACAAAATACTTCCTACTGGAAGGGGAAGGAGGGCTTCAAGTGGTGGGAGCCCACCTGAGTCCTGGGAGAAAAAGTACAACCTTTATTCAAAGACCAAAACACCCAAATCCATCTTTCCAGGTCCTCTGATCCCCCGCCTTCACCAAACATCTCATCACTCCACTGCTCACAGGGCCTTTTCTGTGGAAGCTGCCCTTTCTGGGAAGCTTCTGCCCAGTTCATCCACCGTGAAGCTAAGCCCTTCTCAGACCCACATTCACCTGCTCCTGGTGCAGCCTCTTAACCTCCTCCAGTTCCCGCTGGCTCCCCTCTTCCAGGTTCTTTCGGACAACCTCGGCCCCAGCCAAGGCAGCACGAAGGCCCTCAGCCTCCACTCGGCCGGCCTTCTCCGCCCGTGCCAGGGCCTCCAGCTCCATGGCCTGGGCCTCCAGCCTCATCTTCTGCTGCAGCGAGGTCTCCCGCAGGACTCGGACCTCCTCCTCAAGCCGCCGCAGCTCTTGCAGCTGCCGAGAGATCAGCTCAGCCTGCTGGCTCAGGGCATGTGACCCCTCCAGCTCCACAGACCTTCAAAGACAGGTTAGCACAGGTGAGACCTGTCTCTGGTGCTGGGAAGGTGGCGGAGGGCACAACGGGACACAGGAGGAGAGGAGGATCCCTCTGCCATTGTGCATGAAGATGGTGGGGAGGAAGTTGGGCCAGGGGGGTCTCTGCATCTGTATCACCGCTGTCATGTATCATGGCCCTACTAAGCATATTAGGTCCACTATCCGGGCTCACAGGACTTAACGGCTAGCTGAGATCATGGAACACGATCTCTGCTGAGCTACATACGGGCAGATGCATTAAACATCAAATGTGCACATCATTAGGCCCCACATTCTAAAATGGAGGGGTTGGAAGACGCCCAGAGACTTCTGAATTCTGATTTAAGGGCAAGGAAAAGTTGGAGGCAGTTTCAGAGAAAGAGAGGTCATGGCTTCCAGTATCAATACAGTGAGACCAGGTGCTAGTTAAAAGCATTTATTGAGTGTTAGATATCCTGTATGAGGAGTCGACAGCACATCAATAAATTACATAGTCTACCGGTGTCCTGTAAAGTTTAAACCAGCTTATGATAACATGGCTCTTGACGTAACTCCCTCACCGAGGCCCAGAACCACTCCTTTTTTCTTTTAAAACGGTGGGGATCTACAGCCTAGAGATATTAGTTGACTGGCCCAAGGACCCTAGTTGGTAGCCAAACTAGCATCAGAGTCTCTGTCTCCTGACACCCACTCCAGGGCTCCCCTTCTTGTCATCATGCTCCTTCCTCTTGGACAGGGTTCAAGGTAGACCCACGTGCAATCCCACTCCAGAGCAAAACAGCAGAATGACATTCCAGTACATTTGGGAAAAGACACACGATGAAACATCAAGAATAAGAATCAGAACTTTTACAGACAAAACATCAACAAATAGCATGGCCAGCTCTAATGGCAAGCACTCCGTCAGAATGAATCCAACACTACCACAGTACAGTCTACACTCCTAGTTTGCACTTCATTATCTTGCCTTCTATTATGCTTATTACCGTCAGCTGTTGGTCAATCTACCTCTTCCCTTAGGATTTTTACTTCACTGATATCAGGATCTCATTCATTTTTGTTACCCCCATTCCTAGCATCTAGCCCACTGCCTTAGTACTTATACATTATAAGTTCCAGTAACTGCTTCCGCAAAAATGCACAAATTAGGGAACTAAAGGCTGAAACGGGGTAAGGAATCTATTTCAGTGAAGAAGGGTCACTGGCAAGCAAGCCTGAGAAAAGAGCAACAATGAATCCCTACCTGCCTCTCCGCCCTGCCTCCAGCCCATTGCCACAAACATCCTGTTCCCACATGATCACTTGAGGTCTCTGGTTGTCTGGCCGCCTCTCTGAGACATCTGGATGGGTTCGGGGTTGGACCAGGGGAATGTCTGAAACCCAGGTGGGAGCCATTCTTGGTACAGTTGGAAGGGGACGAGCTTGGAAGTGGGATGGGGGAATCAGCCCAGTGGAACCTGAGGAAGCACAAGGACAAAGATGGTCAGTTTCCTAAGGAAAGACAATCACCAGTCCCCTTGCCTGGTCCCACTGACCTGAAGGTCGAAACATCTCCACATTATTTGAAGTCTCTAGATTCTGTGTCCAGCCATCTATGTTTCCCTGGACAATAGGAGAAACAAGGACACCCCGGTTCAATTTTCAGGCCACCTTCCAACGAGAAAGCCCCTACAGTAATAAAAGTCATAATCCTTTAGTAACTTCCCAAGAGAAGCAGGAAATCCCGAGGATCTCTTGCTTGACCCAACCTCGTTCCTGATAGAACTATGGCAATAACCATGAGATGGAGGGAATTCACTGAGACAGGCTGAGAGGGAGCTCTTGGGCTTTACTCATACTTTTAGAATTCCGGGCAGAGCCTCTACCCTCCTCCTTAAGTTTCTACAGTCTCTGCGGTTCCTTGTCAGAGGTGAGAAAGGAGGTGTGCGGTGCAGGGGCTGTGCACCCAGTCTCCAGAGTTCTCTCCATGGCTCAGCAAGGCCTTCCGGAAGCCCATCCAGACACCACCAAGCCATGACTCCTGGCTCCTTCCCTATTAAAGCACTGGCCCAAGGCCGGGCCCCAGATGAATGTGGCCACATGAAGGGCAGGACACCTCACAGGTCCCCTGGGAATCCAGGCAGCCTAGACCCGTTGGCAGAAAAGCCAGCTTCCTGACATCTCATCCAAACCCTTCCAGCAACTTTCCTCAGTTTCTCTCTACTATGCCCTCAGCTGCCATTCCTGTCGCCTCCCCTCCTCTCTCCAGAGTCCTAGAGCACAAGAGAGGTCTCTTCAAGGTCTCCCTACCCTCCCACCAGAATTCACCTATTTTCCCCCCCTATCTGGGATTCCTATCACCCTCCCTCACAAGCTCATCTGCTTTTTTCCCCCGAAGGAAATTATTCCGGTCCCTCACTCCCCCCTCATCTCCCAACTGCCTGCTCGAGCTTCCCTGCACTCTAGCAGGCTCTCACTTCTTCCACCCCACCTCCTCTCCCCCAGAAACCCGAGTCTTCACCCTGCTGGACCCTGGGCTCTAAGGCTATTCGGACCACCTCATCTGTTCCTTTACCTGGTCCCTGTACCCCTCGTCCCCTATCAACCCCTGAACCCACCCCCGTACCCCCTCTCGGCCCCTTCCCGCCCCCAACCGACTCTTCCCGAACGCCCCTTACCCAGCGCGAGAACCCCCTCTGCCCTCTAGCCACAACCCCTCCACCTCGCTCCCAGGCGCGGCCTCCGCCCCTGACCGCGCCTGCGCACAGCGGGCAGCTTGGCGGGCCGCTCTAAAATCCTGTTTCATCCGGGGAGGAGGGAAAAGAGGTGCACGCAGGCGCAGTAGTGTCTAAAGCCGGGCCCAATTGCGGCGTTGAGGTACGTCTCCGCGCCCTGGCGGCTCCTCCCAACTCCGGGAACCCGGGAAAACTTGTGAACTAATCAGAAAAAGCGGAAGGCGGGAGGTCAGAGACACTCCCAGAGCACCGCCCAATGGAGCGGAGGGGGATAAATGAGCTGGCCAATCAGGAGTGGGACGGGGGCGGGTTCGCTCTGCGGGGAGCTCGGACCCGGGAATTCCGAAGGCGGGGCGGGCGCTGCCCGCGCGCGGAGACCGCGCCCCTTTCGACCCCGGCTTCCTCGCTGTCAAACAGCCGCGGTAGCGTCGGTTCACGCCCGAGCTGGAAGGGTCCCGGGGCCACCGCACCCTCTGGCACTGCCTGGAGAGGAGACTACTTGGAGACTGCACCGCGGTAGATCGGAAACGGGGCTCGCAGGGGAGGGAAAAGGCTGGGTTTGCCTTGCGTGATCTCGGGGAGCTCTTTCCCCTGTTTTTGTCCCACCCGGAGAAGCTGAGAAGTCAGGGTTTAGATCTGCTTTGTCGGAGAACGTAGGGACCATTTTCACTGCCTTTTGGGGGATGACAGTGGATTCCTTTCCCACTGGGGTTAAAGATAACTAGTTATGAGTGAGGGATTGGCCCGAAGGGCCAGGCATGAGCGAGCAGGAGGGTTACTCTATTTGGATAAGTGAGTCTGACAGGAAGCTTTTCTCCAAATTACACTGAGGCGACAAGTTAGTATTGTACAGAAGCAGAAATCCCAATACACACATCTAGTTTGCATTTCCCTGGAAGCTGCCTAATATATTGTTGCCTTGCACAGATTGAGTCTCCCTGAATACTTTGTGGCCTGAGGATCCGGTTCAACTAAAGTGCCATAGGACGTGTTCGTTTTTGCACTGCACTGGGACCTTCCCTGAATTTTTCAGTTGCAAAGCTGCTTGACAGACGGTTTTGTTTGCAGCGCATGCCTAGGCTCCTTGCACTCTGAATTTGCACTGCTCAGGCCTGGGTTTCTTATCTGAGCTTTGCCACTGAACCCTGGTGAAAACTCAGGCCTGTGCTCAAAGTTGAAATTGCACAAAGCACAGCTCAAATTTGCGTCAGACAGAAAGTGAATTCAGGCCAGCGTGCATGGCTCAGGTGTGGGAAAGGTGATGGACTCCTGAAGTGGAAGAGGTGGTGCAGAGGGGGCACCGCCCATGCTGCCCTGCTTCCAGCTGCTGCGCATAGGGGGAGGCAGGGGTGGTGATCTCTACACCTTCCACCCCCCTAGCGGGGCTGGCTGCACCTACCGCTTGGGCCGTAGGGCCGACCTGTGTGATGTGGCTCTGCAGCCCCAGCGGGAGCCTGGCCTCATCTCTGGAGTCCATGCAGAGCTGCACGCTGAGCGCCGAGGTGATGACTGGAGGGTCAGCCTGGAGGACCGTAGCAGCCAAGGTGAGCAGTGAGCAAGGAGGCCTTGCGCCTGGGCAGTTGCAGTTCTGGGCTGGAATAAATTAAGGGGCTCCACAGGGACCCTGCCTGCCTCCCAAACTCCCCGTCAGGTTGGATGGACAGTTGTAGTCCAGACCTGCATCTTCCCACTAAAGGTGTGCAGTGTCAGAAGCTCTCTGTGGGGCTGACCCCTGATGGTCCCTGCCTAGCTGGAACCATCTAAACAAGGGCTGGGAGGTAGATCCAGGGCCTGGGCCATCATCAGGGAAGCATCACAGTGGGGGTATTCTGGAGCCATTGGGGGCCAAGCTCAGATGACTCAGTTTCCAAATTTGCTGACGCACCTTGTTCTTGTCTGAAGGCAGTTATGATATGTTGGATTATGGGTGTTTTTTTTTTTATTTGAGAAAGAGAGTGAGCGAGAGAGAAAAGGGGCAGGGGGAGGAGGAGGGAGAGGGAGAAGCAGACTCCCCGCTGAGCAGGAAGCCTGATGTGGGCCGGATCCCGGAACTCTGGGATCATGACCTCAGCCCAAGGCAGACGCTTAACCGACTGAGCCATCGAGGTGCCCCTTGGATTATGTTTTAATGATCAAGGCATATGTCTTACTCCCTGACTTGCAGGCATTTGCAGTCAACCTCAGAAGGCCTGGGTTTGCCACTGTCCCCAGGTGAAACCTCAGGCCTGTCCCTTCACCTCTCTGGGTCTCAATTTCCTCATAGGTAAAATGTAAGGCTTTGTAAAGTTTGTTTTGGGAATGTTGTGGAGATTAAATAATTAGAGTAGCCAACATTCGTTTAGTGCTTACTGAATGAGCCAGATACTGTTTTAAGTGCATTGAATGTAGGTGAGCACTAATATCATTCCCATTTTATAGACTAGGCAAATGAGGCACAAGGTTAACTTGTCCAGGTAACATAGCTGGTAAGGGTGGGGCCAAGATCTCAACCCAGATAGTCTAAGGTATGCCAATAACTGTTTCTGCACTGGAGCTGGGTCAGAGTGTGTCTGAGAATGGGACCTCAGCAGTGAGGGAAGGAGTCCATTCCTCCCATGTGCCCTGTGGGAGGGCATAAAAAATAAACTTGTTCCCAAATCACAAGGAGCTTAATATCTGATATCACCTGCTCAGGGACTTCAAAGTGAGAATTTGATGACAGGTGTCATGTTCTCATGTTCCCTAGAAAATCAAAGGAGGCCAGATTTCTTCACTCCTGACTGGTCATTTCTGTTTTTGTCATTCTCTGTTATCTGTCTGGTGCCCTGCCATCAACAGGGACTCTGGTCAATAATGTCCGACTCCCAAGGGGTCACAGGCTGGAGTTGAGTGATGGGGACCTTGTGACTTTTGGCCCTGAAGGGCCCCCAGGAACCAGCCCTTCGGAGTTCTACTTCATGTTTCAGCAAGTCCGAGTCAAACCTCAAGATTTTGCGGCCATTACCATCCCGAGGTCTAGTGGTGAAGAGGGAACCAGGGCTGGCTTCCGGCCTATGCTGCCCCCCCAGGGGGCCCCACAGCGCCCCCTCAGCACCCTTTCCCCTGCCCCGAAAGCCACATTGATCCTCAATTCCATCGGTAGTCTCAGCAAGCTCAGACCTCTGCCCCTCACCTTCTCCAGGAGTGGGGGTGAGCCACAGAGCCTGCCTGTTCCCACTCCTCCTAGGGAGGTGGGGACCGCCCCTTCTGCCCCACCCCCAAGAAATCGGAGGAAATCCGCTCACCGAGTGTTGGCAGAGCTGGATGATGAGGGCGAGACTCCTGAGGGCCCCCCACCAGTCTTTATGGAGCCCAGGAAGAAACTCCGTGTAGAGACAACCCCACGGACACCTGGTGGGTAAGTGGAGAGATCTTTCTCAATTTTTAACTCCTTTTTGATTCCTTTTTAGAGCCCCAGGCTGGAAGGTGGCCCTCTGCTCTGGGGATAGGAATGGGAATGGGACTGGGAAGTGGACAGAGCTGGAACAGATGTTGGATTGGCAAAACCTGGGTTAATTCTACTTTTGTGTTTCACCACTAGTCTAAGTGAGTCTATCGAGGTTCACTCTAGAATTATCCAGGGCAAAGTTCTAGGCTTCTTCAGGTTTGCAGTGACCTGGTTTTTGTGTCACTTTCTTCAGAAATCGACGTGGACGTCCTCGGAAGCACCCAGTGAGCACTCCCAGGGCTCCCCCTGCAGTTGGGGGTGGGGAGCCCTGTGCAGCCCCTTGTTGCTACCTACCCGAAGAAGAAACAGTTGCCTGGGTTCAGTGTGATGGTTGTGACGTCTGGTTCCATGTGGCCTGTGTTGGCTATAACATCCAGGCTGCCACGGAGTCTGACTTCCAGTGCCCAGGGTGTCGTGTAGGCATCCAGACCTAAGGCCCCCCACCAGGGCACCAGAAGACAGATAACTGGCACCTCCAGGCCACAGGTGGACACAGTGGGGCTCCAATGGACCTCCTAAGAAATGCCCCCTTCTTCCCTTGCCTCCCCAGGGGTGGAATGACTATAGGGGGAAGTGTCCACGGCTATGGATATTGACTCAAGGCCTGAAGGCGGCCCTCATGGCCAAGGTGACAGAAGAGATGGTTTCCTGCCAAAGATACTGCTGCCTCCGGAAGTTGCCAGCAAGCTGGGAATTCCGTTACAAGCTGTAGTTCCTTGTCATAGGCACTAGAATGTCTGTGGTCAGAGCACACATCAATTGCAGAGGCTGTGCCTGGGCGGATAGAAGCCTCAGTCTAGGAACAAACAAGTGCTTAATGATCTTGGATGGCATCACTAAGGCACTCTGGGAAAACCTAAGGCATGGCCTCAAAACTTTCACATTGTGGCTAAACCACTGCCACTGGCCGTGATCATGACCTTGTTTTTTAGAGCTTTGCTTCTATTGCCAAATAAAGAACAAGCAGCTTCATTCACTCCTAGATGTTCTTTTTCCAGGCCTGGTACTCCTTGCTTTCTGGTTATGGTCTGGAAAGCTTAACGGACTCTTAGGGGAAGAGATGAGCAAAGCACAGAGGAGTATGAACCTGCTCACTTGATACAGAATGGGCTGGAGGTGGGAGACTGGAGAAAAGGTAATCAAGGTTCCTAGTTTAAAGGAAAAACAGATCCACGGCCATTAAAATAAAGTAGATGGAGTTTGGTCAAGTTCGTAAGGATGGCAGAACCTCTGGAAAAGGTACTACCAGGGGAAAAGAGACCGGTACACCAGCTAGAGCAGATGCTCACCTGGTCTAGTGTGGATCAGCCTTGTACCGTACACGGATTTTCTTCTGTGAGCCTTACACCAAGCCAACAGTGTCAAAACGGTATTTCTGTAGCTCTCATTAGGAAAGCCTTATCCTGACCTATTGCAATCTTTAGGTCCATTGCCTTTTATCCCTACTTGACTTACCGACCCAATTGCCCTCCCCATCAAGGACAAGGGCCCCAATTAAGTAATAGCAGAACCAGGACAAAAACATGGGTGTTTGTTGAGTCACTCATGGACAGAGTAGGCCAAACCCTTAAGTGGAAACCAGATGGACTTTGGTATCAACAAAGCACGAGATGGAGTTTCTAAGTTGGGACAATATGCAGAAGCATAGCATCTAAAGATGATTCCTTAGTGTAAAGCCATTAAGGACACTTCCAGAGTTGAGTGGGGAAAGCAAAAAGTCCGCTCCTTAATAGGGAATGGGCTATAAAAATAAGGCATTCCAGGGGCGCCTGGGTGGCTCAGTTGAGTGACTCTTGGTTTCAGCTCAGGTTGTGATCTCAGGGTCCTCGGATGGAGCCATGCCTGGAGTCTGCTTCTCTTTCTCTGCCCCACACCACCCCTCTCTGCTCATATTCTCTCTCCTAAATAAAATCTTTAAAAAATAAAAAAATAAGGCATTCCACTTAAATTTCCCCAAAATTCGAAGTCACAGGCTCCGAGGGAACTAGCTCACACCTATAGGGGCCTTCTACAAATCAGTGGGTTCCAATACCAGCTCTCCCTCTGACATTGTGTGACTGAGCAGTTTAAATGGCACCTTGGTTTCAGGGTCACTGGGTTCTAAGAGCTATTAATATCTAACTATTGGGTATCCCCATCCCTTCTTCAGTAACCAAAGGAGGACAAACCAAAGACCAAAGTATCTACCTACTGTGTCCCAGGCTTCTTTATTTAAGAAAGTGATGTGGGGATTAAAAACAAGAGCATCCTTGAACTTCACCTTCCCTCCAATCAGTCCCCCCAAACTCCCTGCCCCCACACCCTTTGTGTTCCCAAATCCTTTCCTAGTGAATGAAGACCTTAATCCCAAAGACCTGGTACAAACCCCAGGTTCTCTTTCCCTTGCTCTCCCCCTTCCTCGGGCCCCCACTCCTGGGAAGGGCCGGCATCTCAGTTTGAATGCATGGGAGAGCCCAGAGTGGTGACAGACACAGAGGGAAAGCCTTCACCCTCAGGGAAAGGGACTGAGGAGTACAGCGTGGTGAAGTGAGGGCCCCCATAGCCTGGGGTACCAAAATGGGGCCCTGGTGCCTGAGGAAAGGACACTGGTGCCCCTGAGAAAGGGGCCCCAGCAGCCTCAAAATCCTCTCGTTGTGAATAGTCACTGCTTGATCGTTTGCCCTTCTGCCGACGATTGCAGAACCACACTCGGACCACCTGGGATGGAAGACACAATGTAGAGTGACACTTGATCCTAAGCTCCACGAAGTGGGGCTGGCTTTGCTTAGTCATTTGGCCCAAAGCCGACAGATCTAGAGCGGTTGGAGGGCAAGAGGCAGAGCCAGGGAAAGGGCGGCAGTGACCAGGAAGGAGGGGGGCACACGGGGACGGGGCACTCACGTCCTTCTCAAGGCCGAGCTGCTGGGCAATGTGGCTGATCTGCTGCAGGGTGGGCTTCGGGCACTGCAGGAACATGTTCTCCAGGTTGCCCCTCACACGGTTCTCGATACTCGTTCGCTTTCTCTTTCGGGCCTGCACGAGGGTCTCTGCTTTGCATATCTGGTGAGGTAGGGAGGGAGGGAGTGGCAAGGGAGGAAAATGGAAGGGCAGGCTTTGAACGTGCTGAGCACCATGAGGGTAGTGACTCAAGAGCAAATTGCTAAGGGGGCATTGCCCAGAGGGGTCACCCGCACCAGATGGTGTGAGAAAGAAGAATCCTGGAAGGGTGGGTCTAGACAGATGGTTCCGGAGAATCCTGAGGAATTCTACTCCATCCCATTGAGGTAAGAGTATGGCCCCCATGAAGGAGAGCAGCAAACCAGGGAAGGAAGCATCGACAACTGGGCTAAGACTCGGCAGATCCCTGAGCCTCCCTCCCCACCCTCACCTCCTGTAGATTTTCGTTGTTGTCGGCTTCCTCCACCCACTTCTGCAGCAGGGGCCGCAGCTTACACATGTTCTTGAAACTGAGCTGCAGAGCCTCAAAACGGCAGATGGTCGTTTGGCTGAACACCTTCCCTGCGGAGGCCAGGTGAAAGAGAAGCAAGGTGAGGCAGAAGGCAATACCTTCATGACCCCAAGACCCAGGGCCTCCTCATTGTTTCCTGCCTTCCCAAGATCCCACACCGGGATCCCACTTCCTCCCAGAGGGAACTCAAGGTCCAAGTATGTTTTCCCCCTCCCTCTCTACCCTCTTTCATATGGGGGGGGTGGGTGAAGCCTGCCCCTGAAACACCCTTCCCTTGCTCCCCTGGTGGGAAGAAAAGCCCCAAGTCCAGGCATGTTCTTCCAGGGGAGATGTGGTCCCTGTGTTCTGTGGGGCAGGACATGGTGAGGGAGACCCACCAAAGAGAACCCCCAGGGTGAGCCCCACATCGGCCTGAGTATATCCCAGGGTGATTCTCTTCTGCTTAAGGAGCTTGGCAAATTGTTCCAGGTCTTTCTGCAGAGCTTTGATGTCTTGGGACTGCAGTCAAAAAGGCAGAGGACATGTAAGAACACAAACGCATCAGCTGTCAACCCCCCTTCCCATCTGGGCCCCAAGGAATGGTCTGTGGGAGTATCTGCACCCAGACTGCCCACCAAATATGGAGTAATAACCTATCTACCAAAGTCATTCACCCCAGAAAGCAACACATCCAGCAGATGCAAAGCACCACGCATGCACTGACGGAAAGGCAGGCCCTGCCTCCACGAGAATGAACACCTGTCAGCTTATGAAGGGAGCTGCTGCCTCTTCGCTCATTAATACTTACAAAAGATTTCTAACTCAAATATTACCCCAATTTGGGGCAGTTCTGAGACCAGAAAAGTAAAGGGCACCATGCCTCTAATTCTCATTTCCATATACTCTCCCCCAGTTTGCTTCCAGAGGATGACATGGCATGTATACGCAAACACACTACAAAACAGATGTCCAAAAAGGGATGAATTAAGTGAAGGGTATACACTTGGTGCTCATTTTTAAAATTGGGTTATTCCTTATTTTTACTGTATCTTTTTGCAACACATAGGCATTCTCCTTGATTAATTCAACAGATGTATTGCCCTTTCTATAAGCCAGCAGCTATGCAAACTGGACAGAAAGCCCTGGCTTCAGGGGGCTTCCATTCTAACACGGAGAGACAATTATCCAGTACGTTACTATGTTAGAAGCACTATGGACAAAAGCGAAGCAGGGTGGAGGACTACAGAGTTCAGCAGTGGAGGGGATGATGGGGATGGGGAGAGTTTTAAGTAAGAGAAAGTGATGCTTGAGCAAAGGGTGGAAAGGCCCCGCGGTGGGTGGAGCAGGGTGAAAAGACTGAGGGAAGGGATGAGGCGAGGAGCTCACGAAGTCAGGGGGCGCAGGGCAGATCTTGTGGATGCTGCAGTGCATGAGACGGGGAGCTGCTGGATGGATGTGTGGAGTAAAATGATCCGATTTTAAAATGTTCACTCCAGGGGCGCCTGGGTGGCTTCAGCCGTTAAGCGTCTGCCTTCGGCTCAGGTCATGATCCCAGGGTCCTGGGATCGAGCCCCGCATCGGGCTCCCTGCTCCGCAGGGAGTCTGCTTCTCCCTCTCCCACTCCCCTGGCTTGTATTCCCTCTCTTGCTCTCTCTCTCTGTCAAATAAATAAATAAAATCTTTAAAAAATAAAATAATTAAAAAAAATAAAAATAAAAAATAAAATAAAATAAAATGTTCACTCCAGGGGCTCCTGGGTGGCCCAGTCGTTAAGCGTCTGCCTTTGGCTCAGGTCATGATCCCAGAGTTCTGGGATCAAGCCCTGCATCGGGCTCCTGACTCAGCAGGAAGCCTGCTTCTCCCTCTCCCACTCCCCCTGCTTGTGTTCCCTCTCTCACTGTGTCTCTGTCAAATAAATAAAATCTTAAAAAAAAAAAAAGTTCACTCCTGTTGCCGTGTTTACAACAGACTAAGGAGGCAACTGCAGTCCGCCCACCCCACCCCCCA